CTCCCTCTCCCGCCGCCCTGCTCCGCCCTCCACCATTAGAGCCACCAGTCCTTTTATTAGACTAATCCCTATCCGCCTCACCCCACCCCCTCCGCTACAGATCGAGGAGAAAACAAAGCGCATTTTCTTCTCGGTTTAAACAAACCTCCGGATGGCAGCGATGCCGACGGACTGGAATTGCGATGCCCTGGCTCGGCTGTATAGGTTCCCTCGGCTGTCCCGTCCCACGCAGCGGCGCGCTGTGTACTTCGCGAGTCAATCTAGTCAAGCTTCTTAATTTCACCCCCGACGCTCTCAGGTCGTTTCTCTCCTCGCGCCCCTCGCGCGCTGCCCCCGGCGCGCGCACAGACTCCAATTGAAAGGGTTTCAGAGTCTATAGTTTTTCCGGACGGGCGCGGCGGAATCAGCGTCGCGACTAAAGGATCACGCGATGAAACTCTCGAGATAAGAAAAGAGGGGTTACGCGCGGGGCGGTGCGACATCAAACACTCTGTGCCTGCCTGGCCGAGCCCCGCCCCGCCCCGCCGCACTAGCCCGGCCAATAGTGCCTGGCCCGTGCATTCCGGAGGCCAACTTTTGAAGGGAAAATAACAATCGCGAGGCGCGCGCTCTTTTGAATGCGTCGTCTGTTTCTAGCCGGCCGGAGCAGCGGGCCGGAAACCCGGCCGAATGTAACCCCTTTTGCTAATGGAAGCGAGCGCTGTGTGCGTAAGCCCTGAGCCGGCGGGGCGGGGCGGGGCGTTCCCGAAAGGCCCCCACATAGTGGAATGACATTGGAGCGGCGGGGGCGCGTATTGGCTTTCAGCGAGCGGCCAGGTTCTGTTATTGAAGCGGTACATGCGGGGCGCATAGCGAGCACGTCAGCTCACGTCAGACGCATTCCTCGTGTCATGGCGAATCTGTTCGATCCGCGCGTTCACCACCCTGGCAAAAGTCGCGGCCCGATGCCGCCAAACTTGCTCATTGCAACTGCGCATTCACTGTGTGAACTGGTTAGTGTCTTTCAACGCCAAAATACTGGCGTCCTGTGATGAACGCCACATCCCCCAAAAGACTCAAGATGTCAGCGTTGAAAGACACCATTTGGTGTTTGTTTGCGACAACTGAGAAGACTAAGGATAGGTTGCATTTTATCTTTATTGGCATTCCGGCTGCCCGAAGAGTTGACCAGGTCGGTCTACTGGTCGTTGCCAGAGCCCTGGTTGGAGCCGGCCACCGCGACAGCCACGTTGTCGGCCTTGTTGTTACCGCTGTTCTCGGATCCGCTGTTCGGGCTGATCACAACGGGAAGGACTTGTGTGGGGATGGAAGACGAACCCCGGTTGCCGTTGTTGTTTCCGCGGTTGCCGTTGTTGTTTCCGCGGTTGCCGTTGTAGCCGCGGTTGCCGTTGTAGCCGTTGTAGCCGCGGTTGCCCTCGCGCGCCCCTTCGCCGCCGTCCTCTTGTGCGATGGACCAGAGGGATTCCTTGGCGACGTCGTCGGTTGTATCCAGGGCGCGCTTGTTCACGTCGAGGATGGCCTGCAGAATGGCCTCAAGGCGCACCAGGTCGATCTGTGCCAGCGAGTCTGTGGTCTGCATGCCGGCTTGGGCCTGCGCGAGGCCCGTCCCGGCCACCGAGGAGGGCGGGCGATTCACCAGGTTGCCGAAGGGCCCCTGGGGCCGGGCCGCAGCCTGAAACAGACATTAGGAGGAGAAATTGTAGTATATGTCAAGAAATTGAGAGGGTATGGTGTCGTCTAGAAAGTGCTTTTCTCTGATTCATTCGGCAAATTACGGTGCTCGGCGCCTACGACGAGACTCAGGGTAGGCCTCTCCACAGTACACGCATGCACAGCATGCAATATGTTGCCTACCTACCAGGCATTGTGAGAGCCTGCACGCACTTTATCATAAGACGAACGTAACACGAACGTAAGACGAACGTAACAAAACGCATGTTTCAGTAAAAAGTTAAAGTCATGGTTTTTCAAATATGACCGATATTAATCGTAGATACTAAAGATAAGTTGGACAAGTCGAATAATTTACTTATTGTAAAAAGGCTGCGTTAAGTTACAATTTATAACTTTAACTCATAAAATAAAGTTAAAAGTTGTTCAGTAATGATTTACGGAGCCCAGCCTACACACACAGGCGGACGTACTTGGATGATCCCTATGTTTGAATATAATTCCCAGTACAACACTTTCAGTGCGTGGTGACCAGAGTGTGGTCACGCCGTGCAGGTCTTTTCTAACCTAACCTCATGGGGTGCTCTCCACCACACCAAAACTAATTCCCAGAGCTCTTTCGCCCCTTACTCACCACGGCGCACAGAGCCAGCGTACAGAACAGAACCTTGACCATGGTGTTGGTTGAAGCGACCGGGATGTCCTGCCTCCTCCTGCTGACCCGCCGACTATATAAGCCGACTGCCTGCCGCAGCGTCGGACGCTTGTCGCGGGATACGTGCCGTTTCTTCCCGGCCATCCCGCCTATTGCGAGATAGAGCACGGGCTCTCCACGCGCCGGACCACAAAAGACGTGCCCGACCATTTGCTCTTTGTTGCTACGAGAAATTTTTACTCAGATGAGGTGACATTTGTTTAGTTGGAGGTACACGCCCAATCCTTACGAATTAATTTAGATTAATTTGTCTTGCAAAACTAACAAATTTCTTTCTGGCTACTAAAGGGTGCACAGCTATGATGTTAACATTTAAGACCATAGGCTACTCACACATTATTCTCGCCAACGGCAAAGAAAGGGAAAAGTTTATTACGCAAAAACGTTTATAGTGAAAATATTCCTGTAAAAATTTAAGGGTGTGTTGTTGAATAGTTTCGATTGGAGTGAAGACAGTGAGTCAGTGGACAAAGGTCCTCTCCCGGGGGCGTATTTGCGACAAAAGGGCTGGACTATGTCGCCACCGGTGGCGTCGAGGGAAAGAATAAAAGGGGTTGAGTTGAACCGGTCTGCTTGAGGACGCGTTGCACAGGCGAAGCGCAAGAGAGGAGGCCTCTTCAACTTCCAGCGAAGCATCTCAACGCGAGGAGCCATTTTCCAGCTCATAACGCAGCCTTTCATGTATAGAGTGTGTTCGTAAATTCGATTTATAGGCGGTCCGTGTCGCGCGCTGCCTCGGCCCTGCCGCCGCTGCCCGGGCGCTGCCGGCCCCATGACCGCCCCTCCCCTACATCCCTGCCCTTCCTGATTGTTATACCCTGCCATGAACATTGTTCCGTCCCGCAAACTCACAGTTTATGATTATTATATATTTTCTGTACCCACTTTACGGAGCGAGGCCCGATAAAGTGTTTTTCGCCACATTCTCGCCATTTCATATTTTCATATTTTTTGCACGGCTCTTTTTTTTCAGTCGCGTTGGAGACAAGCTCGTCCGTTCGACCAAAACAAGCCCGCTGTCAAACGTCGTCACCTGCCGCTGCTATATGGGCCTGACAGACAATCCTCGCTGCGGCACCCGACTCGACTACAAACTAAGAACGAGAACAAAAAAAAAAAAACACGGCTCAGGGCTTCCAGTTAATCTCGCATGCTAACATCGCTATCTAAACACATATGCATTTGTGTTTGCTATTCAGTGGGTGGTACGCGGGGACCATAGCGGCGGGGACGACACCAGATGGCCCGCCCCCGAGCCCACCGCGCCTGGCGCTCTCCATCTATGACGCTAAGTACGAAGCAATATTCTGCTCCCTTCCCAACCGCGCCACGCCGCGCCACGCCACGCCATGCCGCGCCCTGCCACGCCCCGCCGCCACTGCTGCTGCTCCCGGGCCCAACGATATTTAATTAGTTATTTGTGCTTGCGCTGCAGTGTGTTTCAATGTTTCGAGTGGTTTCGCAGCGCCACGGTGCGTGCGCCCAAACTAACCCCCACCCCCGCGCGCCAGCCCCTCGCGAGCCGCCCCCTTGAAAGCAAAGCACCCCCGGCGTACGTCTCCTCACCCTCCTCCGCCCGCCTCCTCGGAATGGTTCCTCTAGTAGTTTGCCGCGTACCTGGGTCTGTGCTCTGTGCTCTCTCCCTCTCTCCTTTCTCTTTCTGGTCGAGATGTCATTGGCGACCCTAATTCGGCCAAGGCAGCCGGTCCGAAATGGGTCGCCCGGCAGGGAAATGGTCCGCGCCCCCACCCAAAGGAGGCCAGGTCCGCGTTGACCCGAAGGAAATAAAGGCCTCCCGACGACGACGACGATGGTGATGAGGATGATGATGATGGCCGAATTGAATGGGGCAGGGTTGGGAAGGGTTGCCGGCGGGGCGCGCGGCCGCGGGCGGCGTCGTCGTCTAAGGCGGCGCAATCTCCTGGTCATCAGGCGTCCGCCGGCGTCCGCCTCCGCTATAAGCGGCCAATTAACGTAACTGCGGCCTATTTATTGAAGGAGGGTCGCGTCCGTTCTGTCCTGGGCCCGTCAGGAGGACCCGTCGGGGCCGTCAGGACCGCGCTGATGGGGTTACGCCTTACGCTGCTGGACCGGCGACCCGCGGTGTGGGCGGCCTCCTCCTCCTCCCGCGCTATCAAGCGCCTCCACGCGCGCGCGCGCCCACCCGCCAGTGATTCCGTTTTAATACGGTTTGCGATATGCAGGGCGGCCAAGCGGAGCGAGGCTGAGGCGGGCGGGCGCCAGCCTCCGGCGAGAATGCGGTCAGCAGAAGACGGGGGCGGGGCGGGGCAGGGCCGGGCCTCTGGTGGCGGCGGGCCGACGATCTAAGACTGTTGCCTCGGCCTCTGATCAACATATGCATCATTCATCGTGCGGAATATGGCCGCGCCAGATTAGGACGCGAGGCCCACTGCCACCACCCCGGGGTGGGGCGGGTGGGCAGCAAAGCGAGCAGTCGGGCTGCGGTCGTCGGCTCTCCCCCTCACCGCGCCCCGCCCCGCACGGACCCACACGGACCCAAGACGTTTCACAAGCAAATCCGGTCGAGTCGGCTCAGATCGGTTTCGGGCCCCGGGGGCGGCCGGGGGCCTTAGGGTCACGCCGAGGGGTCGGGGGGAGCGACTGGAGCAAGGCCCCCAAGCACCGAGGAGCTGGTGGTTGGTGGCGGGTCCGTCCTTGTCCCGCTCGCGTGGCCTGGGCATAGGCGCCCGCCACACCCTGCGGTGGCGGTGCGAGAGGGAGCGAGACGGCTGACCACGCCGTGCCCACCCTGCCCCTGCCAGCCGGGCCGGTCTGATTTGCATCCCGGGCCGAGGCCTGTGGTCACGCGCTGACCGCGGACCGGCTGGACAGGTCGGGAAATCAACACGTGACGCTCGGCGCGCCTTGTGGCGCCCGGGCCCGGGTGGGACCCGGCGGGGCGAGCGGGGCGGGCAGGCAGGCAGCGGGTGTCGAAATGAGCCATCACCTTGCGCGCCGCTCCCGCCGCTCCCTTCCGGCCCGGGCCCTTACGCCTCGTTAGCTATGCGTCCGCGCCTGGTCCCAGCAGCAGGGCCACGAACCGGTCGCCTAAAACCAAGCGCGCCCGTGAGAATCACACACGTGCAGCACATAATTTCTTGCAAGTCCTTTCAAAAAAACGAAGACACGCGGGCAAAATGGACAGCTCTAACCCATTTCTAGAAAGTGAGTAAAAATGTCGAGAAGTGACGAGGAAGCGACGGCGGTTTGGGGCTTCTTGGCAGGGGCCGCCAGGTTTGGAGTGACGAGACACGATAAAAACAATGTCTCATTTTATTTTGACGGAAAAGGGAAAACTTTGAGGAACTCCCTTGGTTTGAGGAAAGCGCCTCAGATTTCGAGGGAGTCTCCTAAAAAGATGTGGAATCTTACTTCATTTTTTGAGGAGGTTCTACAAAATCTGAGGCGAGAACTATGAGGAGTTCTCCTTAAATATGGGAGGCCCTCAAAGTTTTCCCTTATTCCTCAAAAGATGAGACATTGTTTTTACCGTGGAGACCTTTATCATACCGTGGTGCTTTATTGCGGGGCGACCACTCGAGTCATTCGGGGAGATACAGAGAGAGACATGGGGGAGGTGGGAAAGGGTGTGAGGGCCGAGCTTTCCGGGCGGGTCGGGTCGGACCAGTGAGCACTGCCCCAGGGCGGGCGCGGCGGGCTGCCGCTGGCACCACATGTCCAGCAGGCGGGGCCGGCCTGCCGGCGGGCGCGTGAGGCGCAGCGTTGTTTGCCCGTGCAATTCGATTAGACAGTTCTCGCGGGCCGGGGGGCGGCCAGCCGGGGCTTATGCCCGGGACGCACACCTCTCGGCCCGGCCACACAGCGCAGGGAGCGAATGTGAAAGGTGGGGGGGGGGGGGCGAAACCTGCCCGGGCTCCACAAAGAGCGCGCGACGTCCCTCCCTTCTCTGCCGGTGAAGCGGCGCGGGCCAACAAGCGAAAACTTTTTCTTTGTGAAAGCGGCTCGGCTCTGCGACATCCGCGTTTCTCTTTGACGACATGTTCCCGGAGGTGGACAAGGTAAAAGATCCGGTGCAGCTCCGCCCGGCCTGGCCCGGCCCGCCTCCTGTGCGGCGCGCTCCTCTACTCTCGGGATTGAGCCGCGCGCGTGGGCTTGCTGCTGACTGAAGTTTTGGAGCACGACAAGCAGTAGTAGTAGCAGTGCGCCGCCTTGTCGCCGGCAGCAGACCCGCGCGCGCAATCTCGTATAAAACCCTCTCTCGTCGGAACCATCTCCGATTTCCAAACTCCGCACCGCACGGCTAATGGCCCCGTGATGAGCAAACAGCGCTCCGCAACCGCCTTAATAAACACTTTGGGACCCCTGCGCTGCGCGGCGTTGTTTGGATTCAACTCGGCCAGGGCAGGGCGGGCGGCAGCGCGCCGCGCAGGGTAGGCCACGCGCCCGACCGCCGTGTGGAGCGGCGCTCCGTACCCCGCGCGGCGCTTCCCGCCCCCCGGTGTGGTGCAGCCGACGTGGGGGGATCGCAGAGTGCGGTGCAAGCCCCCTTGCTCTCCTCCACCACCACCACTTCTGCACCGCACTTTTGCTAAACAGCGCGTGGCCTGCTCGCACCGTACTGTAAACAACTCGGTGGTCCCTTTTGCGGGCACGGTTTATTTGTAATTCTGAAAAACATGCACGGCGCGTATCCGCAGTTCCTGAAATACGATGAAAGTTTTTGTTCCAGGAAATTTTTGACATTGCGGATGAATTAAGGGTCCCCGAAGTATGTGCCTTTGTGAGTTTAGTCTAAATGAGGTATTTATGTTCTGCTCTCTTCAACACGAGGCAAACGTTTTCCAAACTGTTATCAGAACTGGCGCAAATTAAGAAGAAACAGAGAGGAAATGTTTACAAACTAGTATCCCAGGAAAGTTCTATGGAAGGGGAAATAGTTCTCTTACATTGAACGTTAATGTCTGTTTAATTTGGGCATTATTGGTTACAGTGATAATTAATTTTTGAGTCAATTTAAGAAAAGAGCCTTTTTTTCGGAACCGCAGGACCACTCAAAAATGATGATAACAAATGTACTAGATGGCATGATGGCACCGGGCACTGAGG